CCAGCAGACCCTCACTACACGTTTGGGCCTGCCAGGTCTGACCGGCTTCCTCCCCCACCACCGGAGCCAACTCACCACCAGGCATGTGGTATGTATAATAATAATCTAGAATAATAATCTTGTTTTCAGAATGTGTAAGATTATTTGCCTTCTTAGCCTGAAAATTTGACTCAAATTAAGTAAAAAATTTCTGCCAATGCAGTAAGAAAATTTTACTTGGTAAGATTCTTGAAATACTTGATTTGACTCCATTTTTTTTTCTTATTTCAAGAATCTTACCAAGTGAAATTTTCTTACTCCATTGGCAGAAATTTTTTACTTAATTTCATTCAAATTTTCAGACTAACAAGACAAATAATCTTACACATTCTAAAAACAAGATTATTATTCTTACACAATCAGTTCTTGTTTAGTAAATCAGTCTCAAAACAAGATCAAAAAGACTTTTTGGCTGATATAAGACTTTAAAACTTGGTTAGGTGGACAGTTTTTGCAGTGTATTCAGTAAGTGTTTGTTAATTTTGGCTAGCAGCCCCCCTCCTGCCTGAAGTCAGCTGTGAAGGATTTGCTGTTCCTTACTGTGATCCTGAGCAGCAGCTTCCTGTGTGACCAACAGACAGGAGGACGTTCAGGACAACAGAGGTGATCCAAACAGGAAAAGGAAGAAAATGTCACTCAGCATTTACTTCGATGATTTTTGGTTTGAGTGACAAAAAAACAAAACCGATTTTTTTTTCTTACAGCAATCTTTTATTAGGAATGCACGTGAAGATGACACTGATGTTTGTTCTTGTTTGATTTAGGCAAAAATATCAGCAGTGGACCTGACTTTGTAATCGGCTTGGTTTGTTTGACTTCCTGTTTGTTTCTGCAACTAATCACATTTTCAGAACTAACCAAACCTCATGAAGTGGTTTCCTGTGTGGTACTGAGCATTGTTCTTATAAAAAAAAGAGAGCTGCGGGGTTAAGATGCATGTTTCAGTTCCTGGTGCATTCGCAGGTCCTCACTGTGAGCTCCGCCTCCTCCCATCAGCACCGTCATCTCTGCTCCATCAGGGCCTGGTACTCCCTCTGGTGGGAGATCAGCTGCAGGAACACTTTGTACTTTCTCTCATAGAAGCTGAGAAGAGATCCAGGAAACAATTTCAGAAATGTAAAGATGTCAAGTTTCAGTGTGATAAACTAGCCTGGTTGTAAAGTTTAGTCCTCTCATGACCCGGCTGTGACTGTAGGGGACGACTTGAATGCTAACAGTATTTCAATGTAAAGAAACAAAAAAATGGCAGCAACTAGGGCTGGGCGGTATGAAATCAAATTCATATCACATTATAAATTGAATCCCTTCATGGTAACGGTATATATCGCGGTATAAAATTATCATAAAAAGTAAAGATAATGTAATTTTTAGAGCATTTTTGTTTTTTTGCAGAAAACTTAGTTAAACCCACAGGGTTCGACAAGATTTTTTTTTTTTACCTGCCCTGTCGGGAAATGAAAAGTTACCTGCCCGAAACAAAAATGCTCAAAATTTGTGTACTGTATTTGTACTACAAAAACATTAACATGGTTATACAGAGGTATATAATATACGACATCTGATTTAGCAGATGCAAACATTGCAGACTGAGTCACTCAGTCAATTGTTTTATCAAAAACATCTTCTAAAATCTTTTTTAGACCTTTCCAGGGTTTCCCTAGAGTATTTGTCTTGGGAGGGCTGCAGCAGCTTTGTTTTAAATACAATTTACAAAACATGAAAGTCTGCAATTTGCATTAATTGAATCTTATATAGTGAATCTCATATCTAAAGATACATTTAAGATATCTTGAACTGGAGTCTCCCTACAACTTGATAAATCTGACGTTATTTATACTAGTCAGAATATAATTAGCGATATCTTAAATAGGCATTTTGAATTGTCAAAATATATTAAGAGATGTCTATTTGTTTGTTTCTTTCATTTATAAAAACAAAACAATCTATGTACAGCATAAAAAAGTAAATCCTACCCTGAATTAAAAAGGTGCAGAGTGAAGGAAAGAACTCGTACGCGTCCCTTATTTTCAAAAATCAACTTCAACAAACAAACAAGCTCAAGCTGGAAAGATCTCCAAGTTTAAAAAAATAAGTAAATAAAACAAAACAAAATAATAAAAGAAAACATTTTATTATTTTATTCTAAATAACTAATCTGTCTAGTTTAGTCATAAAACAATTTCAGATTACTGGAATGCAAGTGTGATGAAGCCAAATAAATGCAACATCAGCCTGCCATACAGTGAGCCTGTTGAACTGACCCTCTGCTGCTCTGCGCTCAGAGCACAAGCCGACATTAGCAAGATGGATTTATGACTGAACGAACGTCCACATCGTTTTATCATTTCTGTGGGTAACAATACATAAAAAACAGTTTTTTCTCCGACAACTTGGGTGTGAAAAAACTATGGTTGTTAAAGCTTCGCTCTGCACGACGTGCAGCAGGAGGGAGGAAATGAGGAAATGATGGGCCACATGACGTAACTTTTCTACAGCGGGTGGGGGAAATTTTTAGGATTTATTCTCTCTATATGTGTTTTAAAATGCTAGAATTTCTTCATTATACAGCGGGTAAAATAAGTATTGAACACGTCACCATTTTTCTCAGTAAATATATTACTAGAGGTGCTAATGACATGAAATTTTCACCAGATGTCGGTAACAACCCAAG